TACTAAGTACTAACTACTAGGACAGAACAACAGCTGAATGAACTGCCAAAACGACAGGAGGTGAAACACAGGGTCTTTAAAGGCAGTGGAGTTAATGAGACACAGGTGACACTAATGACCACAGGTGGCAGTAACGAGGAGCCTGAGAAGAGAAGAAAAAGTATTTTTTTAAATATTGGACTTTAAGCACATTTTTAATCTACTGTTTGGTGTATTTTCTTTTTTTCTCTCTCTCAGCGTAAAGTCAGTTAAATTCTGACATTTAATGACATTTATTTTAAAGAAGAGAAAAGTCAGTTAAATTCATGACATTTAATGACATTTATTTTAAAGATCAAATACAGAGCTTCTTCTTTCAGAGATTAAGGCAAAAACCCCAGTCAACGTATGTAAATCTACTGTAACACAAGACTTAAGATAGCATCTCTGATGTGTGTTTTTTTTCTTTCCTTTAAATGTCACATTAAAATGAGGTTTATGTGGTTTTAAAGTCTGTCAATCTAAAAACATTAACACATTCACCTGTAATTCATTCATATTTTTTAACAGTTTACATTCATATTTACATATGGCAGTGGGGTGGGGGGGGGGGTTTGCGGTTCTGGGGCCCCCCCCCCCCCCCCGGTACAATAACAATAAAGACAATTCTATTCCCCTCAGTTTATGAGCCAATCCTGTCAGAGAAACCTTCCCACGATATTTATCTCACAGCATCAGCATAAACAAGAGAAACCAGACGTTCTCTTGTTGTGGTAGAGACCCGTCCCTGTGAAAAGCGCAGGCGGACAAGGTCAAGCAGTGAACTAATCATACACACACGAGAGGTGAAGTAAACTTTCTCTCTTTTTTATGACTGCAGCTGCTGCTCCTCAGAGACGATGTACTGAGGGGAGCAGATCAACCGTCGTCCCAGCCGCTCACTTCATTAAAGCTGATTGTGTTGCACACAGTCATCCCAGTACTTAATGGAGAGAGACAGTGCGATCGCGCCCGTGAGCGAGGGACATTTGGGACCAGGGAGCAAGAGCAAGCTTTTTATGACATTATTATGACAAATGAAAAGGCCTCAAAGAGCCTGTTATCTGGATTTTAACATTTGTGTTCACGTGTCATTTTGAGGTTTTTTTAAATTTATTTATTTAAAAATTGGTGTGTTGTCTTATAACGTGTTCCCTGTACGTTCGTCGTTCGTTGTTCCTTTCCTCACTCACTCGTTTTTTGCCATATTTTGTTCCTGCTGTGTCTCATCAGTTGCACCTTTGTCCACAGTCTTAGTCACAGTGTGTTTTTCTCAGTTCTTCTCTGACTCTCTGTCAGGTTGGATTAGCAGCTTTTCCCAGATTTATTCCTTCGACTCTATATTATTAATCAGATTAAAAAAAGAGATTCTCAGTGAATGGAAGTGCTTTTTGAAGGAGCCTGAGTGATTTTATATTAGGGATTTTGTAAGAGAGGGAACTGTTATTTTTCAAACCACTGATTCTCCTACAGTAGTACTGGCGTCACCGTTGATGGTTTTTCTTGACATTGTTGATCCACTTCAAATATGTGTATTTACAGAATATTGACTAATGTAAACCTACTTCCTCTGAAATGAAAGATTAAACTAAGTGTTGAATATCACATTAGTTTAGGACAAATAGTTGATAAGTGGACAGAAATCCACTTAATAATCATGATCATAATTAATCCATTTGACAATTGTGTCCGTCAGCTCATCGACGCAGGTAACATCCTGGCACTGACTGACAAATATTCCTTTATTTTAATGAATTTATTTTTTCTGCCTCAGGCTCCGGTCTGACAGCAGGGGTCCCCATAGGAACACCTGATCACATTAGTCCAGAGCAAAAACAAATTTGCAGCAGACTCCATAAATTGAATAATTGGCTGGATCCGTAAGTCTCAGCTGATACCATGTTTGAAAACACTTTAACAAGGCCCCACGCCTCCGGCTTGCTTTGGTAAAGTTTGTTGTCAGGCCTCTAGGCTCTCCTTTTGCCCAAGGCCTTCCAAGTTTTTTGAAACACTGATTTTTTGTACCAGTTGCAGTTTCATTTACTTAGATGTTTTTTAATGAGAGGCAAGAGGACAATGATTAGAGGAAGTGGGAATCGAGACTGAAGACACTGTCTGTGCTTATAAATTGGTCGATCTGGCACGGAGCAGCCCCGGGAAGCAGCAGCAGGGGGTCGGGATACTCGTACTACAACCAGTGGGCTGTTAGGAAAATACATCCACACGATACGGTCGACGTGTTCTCTGAGCTAACGGACAAATTCTTTTCTCTGAGCAAGCATTATGGTTCAAAAAACAGAAGTGAAAAAGCTTCTTGGATGAGAGGTGAAACGTCTTCAGAAACCTACTCCGTCCAGTTGCCTCCTCGATGAGACGATTTTTGTATAAAGTGACCTGGACGACTGAGAACCTACACAGACAAGCATTGTGGTTGTTATGTAATCTGGCCTAATGTGGGCTGAGGACTCAGACGTCGACCCCTGGTTTTACTTGCCGTAGTAGAAAAAAAAAATGTTTAAAATCTTGTTGAAATGTCTCCCATGTCCACAGATGTGACATGAGGTAATTGTATGTCGAATGAAATCATCGGAGAAGGAGTTCAGTTTGGGATTTTTCATTTTGTTTAACTTCTAAAGACCAAATCAGGTCAACTCTTTCTGTGTCAGCCGTTAGTAACGCTACTTGGACACATATCACTATAAAAAAAAAACAGCTTTTCTTGCCGAAAGTAAAAAAAAATGGCAGTTGTCAAAGTCACTGAGTTCAAAGGCTCATCACATCCTCTCCGCAGTTCGGCCTCGGCACAGTGAAGTGTAATAGTGAAACGTGCAGTCAGGCACATTTACTGACTGGGCCTGAAGCTCATCAGTGATGTGACACACACGCAGTGGCCTATAGAGCGGATAATAACATGCCTCCTGGTCTGGAATGCACACTGTGTTGTTAAAAAACACCAGGGCTGGTAACTCCAGCACGGTTTAGAGTGGATGTGAAACGTAGCAATCACGCTCATGTACTCTTCATGTCTCCTTACCCTTGGATGGAGAAGCTTTTGCAAATTGGGAGCCAAATAATCAGCCACCCATATAAAACAGTGTCATGTCTTTGAGGACAAGTTGCAAGAAAGTAAGTGGAGAAGAGGATCGAATTATTAACACGAAAAGAAAGTTAGTCAGATTTGTAGTTACATTCCAAACGGAAGTGTATTGTATTTTTTCCGGACTATAAGTCGCACTTTTTTTTAATTCATTGGCTGGGTTTGCGACTTCTATATTAAAATATACAATTTCATGTTTGTTAGTTTCGCACTGACAGCCACTAGAGGGCACTGGAGTGACTTATACTCTGAAGCAACTTATACAGTATGTGTTTTTTTTTCTTCTTCATTCTTTTTTGGCAGGTGCGACCTATAGTCCGGAAAATACTGTATTAGAAAGATTAGATTTACCAGAGGACAAGTAGATGTCATTGTATTCTATTAGCTTAATAGTTATGCTGCAGAAAACGTAGTCTCCCCTGATTAAGACCTTGTTCCAAAATGCTAAAAAAATATATAAATAAATAAATAAATCTCTTTATCTTGACCCTGGTTAGGTAACATTTCAATGGTTAAATAATACAGGACCTGAGTGAGTAAAAAACACCATGTGAACTGAGAATTGAACACTATACGTGTCAGAGTGTTATCACTGTCACACTGACGGACCCTCAGGATCTAACATTCACACACTGAATTTGAACAGGGAAATTCCTGCTTATTCCAGTAATATGTTTGCTTTTCATTAGCATTTCACTGAGGGTGAGGACGCAGCCTCTTTTGCATTTGTGTGTAGAACACCGCAGTGTGGAGAGGCTCAAACGATTCTTATCAGCCGTCTGTCGGAATCGCTGCTCTGCTCAAACCAATAAGTGATGCTGTCAAAGGGGTGTGTCACTCTGTCAGGAATCCTTGGGCTCCGCATGACTCCCCTTGAGGGGAAGAAGTGCTGTCCTTATCAAATGGAGCCATGCCGTACAATATGATGAAACACTGACAGAACAGTGATAGAAATCTCCCTCTGGATAACAGACCTCGTCTTCTGAGGCCCTAATGTTACTGATAAAGGTCATACGCAGAGTAGGACTGTAAAATAATCAATCATTTAAATGCATCTCTGAGGCTCCGGGGACTATTTATAATAAATGAAGCGAGTTGAGAGACTGTAATATGTGAAGAAGAAGAGGAGGAAGAAAGAAATGTGGATTGGTTGTTTGGACTTTCTGAGACCAGGTTGGAATTAGTTTCCATCTGGTGAGTCAATGAAACGAGATTTTGTAAAAACCTCTGATCTTCAACCACAGGAGTATAAAAAAACAAGGTGGAGATCAAATAAGTCCAAGCCATAAAATTACTCAGGTTTCTGACAAAATCTCCTTGAGGAAAAAACAGAAAATTGAAAGTAGTTTTTGTTGCTGTACTGTGACTTTAGTGTTTGTTTGGTTTTTTTACCATGACAAATCAGAACTCTACCTCAGCACTGAGTAACCGAAAGTGCTTTGATAAATTTAATATCTACAGATGTTAGTGGAACAAAAGACAAAATCCCAAACTTTCTCTTGAAAGGCTGTAGAACCATGGTTCCCAACCTTTATAGGTTTGTTAGGCGAACTTCTCTTTTACAAGACGGGAAATTAATGCTGGAAAAATGATCTCTCAAAGAGTGAATTATGAAAAACAAGCTACTGAACTGGCCACAGTGACAATGTGAAGAGTAGGTAATATTACAGTGCTTCATGATCACAGCCTTCAACCAAGATCCAGCTCAGATATTTTATTTGAAGAGTACCTGTGATGACTTCAAACAGACGGTAGTAGATTTGGTGCAAACAGAAAAATGGAGGTCGATGCCGAGCAGCTGTTTCATGTTTTCATTGCCAGTTTAAGGTTGCTCTCATTTACTTGTTGCTGTGGTCATTGGTTATCAGTTGTCACTTGTGGGGGGGAGGGGGAGGAAAAATACGTGATGAGAAGAATTGCAGGGATTTTGCCTCGACTGCACATTTCCGCTTCGCAGTTTGAGTTCATTTACCACAAAGCTGCTAAAACGCTTTCTCTCTGAGTGGCTTCCTGTGAAAAGGTTTCACTCTGCTCTCAGTCTCACAGCCTCAACCTCACTCTAAAACCCCGTCTTCAAGACTGCCGTCTCTGCTTTGTGCCCGATGCCTCCGCGGCCTGATTCATTGTAATGAGTTTTGGGAGCTGGAACATGGCTGAAGCTGCACTGGAAGCGACCTTCTCACTCCTCCTCTGTGCCGCTATTATACAAGGTAATCATGGACCACATGTGCTGCAGCCCATGAATAACACAGCAGTAAATACGTTGTAGTCTCCAATGGTTTGAAATGACTTCTGGTGTGATTAGTTGTCTGTGGTTGTCTTTCAAATCAGCAGAAGTCTATCAGCTTTACATGTAAGCGTTTGTGGGCCTTCACTTTCAGGGTTCCAGAACAACGTGGAGACGGCTCGATATGAAACAACAGAAGCGGCCGTGGGTCAGAACGTTACCCTGCTGTGCGCCATTGAAAACCAGGGGTCCAATATGGCGGTGTTCAGCGTCGAGTGGTTACTGAAAAAACACAAGACTGAAGAAAAAGTCGCGCTGCTCAATGTGAAGTACGGAGTCCAACTATTCTGGCTCAATGTCAGTATAGCCTTTAACGGGGACAGATCAAACCAGTTCATGGTCTCCTCTCTTCACCTTCCTGAGGTGACAAAGAGCAATGGAGGCACCTATATATGTGATTTTGCAACTTTTCCTTCTGGCTCCATCAGGACAGAGACGGTGCTCAGGGTCAAAGGTAAGGAGTTAAAGCTGCCGAATCTTGACCGCGTCCTCCAAACACTGCAGGGTGGTGTAGGTGGTGCAGAGAAATGTTCCATCTTTTTGACAGTTGTGTAGATTTTCATGTTGCTCCAAATTGCATCAGAGCCGCTGCTCCAGCGATCGCCACGGTTGCTGACAACAT